TGTCTTTTTTCCGTGTCCGGCAACGGATCGCAACCCTCAGTGTTGCCCCCATACCGGACCGGGACCAGCAACGGGATCGCAACCCTCAGCGTTGCTCCCGCACCTCGCTCAGCCAGTGAGCGGGAACTGGTCTGTATGTGGGATCCGAACCCTCGGCGGGAGCGCCACCGCGCTTCCCAAGCAGCGCACTATAGCAGTGCACCACCGGGCCGGCCCTGGCTAGGTCATTTTTAATCTAAGAGTATTTTCATGGGATAAGGATAAAATAATGGCCATCAGCATAAACATATTTACTATTTGGGTCAATTTTTAGGTTTAGTTTGGCTAAACCCTGACCTTGTAAAGTAATGAGGAATAAATTTGCAATAATTCTTGTCACAATATTGTTAGGAATCTCAAATTTCTACAAGAATCTCTAGTAACAAACAAGCTTAAGGATTCTGATTAAAAACAATTTAACATTAAGGCATTAAAAACATAATAAGTTGTTACCAATGGTGCAAAGTACACGTGCATTAAATATTTACAGTTACATCCCATCTAACCAATTTCACCCATAACAAAGGGAGACACTTTTAGATGTCCTTCTCACTTAAAACTAATTCCTCTAAGACCGTTCATATTAGTTGGCTCTTCTATAAAATGTTGCTGTGATAATTTTATAATCACGCTGTAGTTCTACAATGATCAATTGAAAAAAGCCTCTCCCTTAATAATCAGAAACAAATTATCTAGTTTTCAGATTATCCAGGCTTCTCTTTCACCTGCTGCCTCTTAGCTCTGTCACAAGCTAGGGAGAATAACAGCAGAGAAAAATCTGAAAACAGAAAAATACCTCAGGTTCCTAGGGGGAAAGGAATCATAATTATTTGCTTAGACTTAAAAAAATTGAATCTAAATTTGCTTGTCTTTTACCACAAATAATTAAAAGTTGGCAATAAATAAGTCAACACATAAATCAACTTTGAATATGTTATTATGCTTAGGCCCATACCAGAGAGGTCCAAGTTCAATTGCTGTCTTTCCAGGCATGCTTCCATGACAGTTACAGGGAAGTTGTCTATATGGGTTTTCTGTAAAAGAATAAAAAGAGAAATCAAAGGAGAAATGACTAACGTAAATAGTAGTGACTGCTATATTAATAATAATTTGCAGCTACTATGAGGGTACTTCAAAAATTTCATGGAGGGCTGTCTGGTTAGCTCAGCTGGTTAGAGCCCAGCCTTATTAACAACAAGGCCACAGGTTCAGATTCCTGTACCAGCCAGCCACAAAAAAAAAAGAGAACAATGAAACAAAACAGAAATGTAAAAGAAAAAGAAAAAAAAAGTTCATGGAAAGATTTGTATTATATTTCAATTTTCCACAAACTTTTTTGAAGTACTCTCATATATACTGAGGATCTACTATGTGCCAGGTATTATGCTAAGTATTTCATATGTATTTAAAAATTTTAGTCCTTACAACTCTCTGAAGTAGGTACTGTTAAGATCTCTATTATACTGATCAGAGGATTAAAGCTTAAGGGAGATTATGGAAATCCATGTCAAATTGCTTATTAGAGACATAACACATACTAGCTTTTAGTGCTATACTACATGAAATAATACGAAAAAGAGAAAGTCTTGTAAAGTCCACAAGACATCCATATTTTAAATTAACTGACTGGAGTATAAAGTATATGCAATAAAATGTATACATTTTGTATGAAAAGGTTGATGAGTTTTGACAAATGTATACACCCATATAACCAACATCCCAATCAAAATATACACATTGCTCCTAAGTTCACTTTTCTGCAATTGGGTGGAAAGTGAGTTACTCTATTCCCTGTATCTGATTCATATTCAGCCCCTAAAATGTAAGCTAGAAAAATCTAATTTGGTTGTAAGAGCAATGAGAGGCCTGATATAATCACAAGAAAACTGGGGAGATACTAGCACTATTCTTAGTTTCCAAAATGGGGCAATAATCTACTGTAGGACTTTTAAATTCACTCAAAGCCTAGAATAGTCATTTTAAATCAGAAGCTCTCCAACTAACTTTCCCCAGTCCAGGCCCTTCCTGTGTTGATCATTCACTTCCTTGGAATAGCCTGATCTGATCAAACAGTCCTGAGCATATTCGGAACCTAGGATTATGGTTGTAGAGACACAAACATACCTTCTTGCTGTTTATTGATATCACCCTGTTATTCAATGCAATTTTTTTTCTTTTTTTGATAGCTGGCTGGTACAGGAATTGAACCCTGGACCTTGGTGTTACCAGCACCGTGCTCTAACCAACTGAGTGAGATCTCATTTTAGATTTACTTAAAAGCGTCCCCCACTGTTCCTGTGTCTACTTTTTGGTATTTAACTCTAAGCCTTAATGGAAGGGTGTCACTGACGTTAGCTTTGTTGAGAACTATGTTCCTCTAACATTTGTATACTCAAGAAGTCTTCTCTTGAATCATTAAATAGCTAAACCACAAATACTTATAGGCAGTCATAATCCAACTTAGAATGGTGATTTACCTGTGCAGTTCTGTCAGTTACACCCACTTACCACAGGCAAACAGCACACAAATGAATTTATATTAGTTTGTATCTTGATGCATTTTGCAAAATATTCCCATCATACAAACCTATATCTTTTCCAAGTCCCTTAGCTAGGATTTCTATGATCTGGGTAAATGAATTTATATTAGTTTGTATCTTGATGCATTTTGCAAAATATTCCCATCATACAAACCTATGTCTTTTCCAAGTCCCTTAGCTAGGATTTCTATGATCTGGGTAAGCTTTAGCAAATTTCCTCTCTTGAGGGGCCAGGGCTATTTCAAGTTACTGGTAGCAAAAAATTAAGGGGTAAAGAAGAAAGAAATTAGTATTTCCATGTCGTTGGTATATAAACTATGAAAGCAATTTCAGATGAGGAATTTAAATATATTCTGAGACTTCTATTTAAATGCAATGTATTAAACACACACTTTATCTCTGCTGTCTCTTAAAGATTCATTAAAATGACAGCAAAGAAAAAAAATCAAACCAAAAGAATACAAAATAAAAAGATGAGAGGTGATAATAAAATTTTACAAGCAGGAATCAGATACACAATGAGATAACTGATTTAGCAGGCCAGAGAAAGCTAAAGCCTAAGTGTGCAACGCACTGATAAGCATCCAACAAAACAGCAAGCCCACTGTTATTATGGGACCCTGGAAAGGCCTGAGAACTGAAGGTCTTGATTGTCTCTGGAAATAAGTATAGGGTGATATTTAAAAAAAAAAGAGGCCTGGTTAAAAAATTCTAAGGGTTCAATTAAGACTCCCAGATTTTCTTCTCTAATACCCACAATCAAGCCTCTGTGTCTTCCCCATCCCCCCAAATAAAGTTAATCTTTGGTGAGGCTGAACCATTCAGGATCTGGGACTAGGGGTTTGAGTTGCAGCTGATGGTAAGGAGATGTAAGAAAAAAGAGGATTAAGTAAAAATCTGCACAAATGGTAAGATCTTCCAGTCTCTGTCCCTGATGTGGCTCTCTGAAACCTGACAGAAGATTGGTCAATTCCTCTCTGGATATACTTTCCAATCCAACAAAAAAAGACCTATATATATTTGTTGGCATTTGGGGTTCTCCTGGTATAAAAGCAGAATGGTGCTTTCTCATTACAGTAGAATTCATCAATTTATAAGCCCTGACCCAAGCCCTTCCAACTTTTCAATGTGGACAACCAAAGACCACCAGCCATTTAAGATCTACCATGACAGACAGAGAACAAAATTACAAAACAGAAGAACAGTTAGAAAGCAGAAGAATGAAACAAGAAAATAACAGCAACAACACAAAAATAAACATACAAAAACCCTATCCTCCCACAAATATGAAATATACCCAACTATAATCAATTCTCAGTGAGGTATGATTAAATTTTGCATCCCTAAAACAAGAATTATTAAACTATTAAAAAAGGAGCAATGAGAAAATATAAAATAACTGTTAGAAATAAACAAAATATGGGCCGGCCCGTGGCTCACTCGGTAGAGTGCAGTGCTGATAACACCAAGGCCCCGGGTTCGGATCCTATATAGGGATGGCCGGTTTGCTCACTGGCTGAGTGTGGTGCCGACAACACCAGGCCAAGGGTTGAGATCCCCTTACCGGTCATCTTTAAAAAAAAAAAAAAAGAAAGAAATAAAAATATGACAGAATTCAACAGGAGAGTTGAAAAATAAAAATAAAGGAATTATCCCATAAAGTAGAATTAAATATCAAAGAAATGAATAGTAGAGATTTTTTTTTTTTTAAAGTAGAGGATTAACCTAAAAAATCCAATATAACTAAAATGAGTTCCTGGAAGAAAGAATAGATATAATTTGAGAGGAGAAAACTGTTGAAGAAATACTACAAAAAAATTTCTTAGAGATGAAAAACTCAGGTTTCTGACTTAAAAGAACTCCAAGATTATCCAACACAATTTAAAAAGATAAATTCATATACATATTATCACAAAATTATATTAGAATATTGGGTAAAGAAGAGATATTTTAAGAGTATTAGGAGATGAAGAAAATACACAGGACTAGACATGAGAGAACAGCAGCAAACTTTTCACTGGAGGCTGGAAGACAATGGAATAATACCCTGAACATTTTTGAGGAAAAACAACTTCCAAACTAGAATTCTATATGTAGCCTGTAATCCTTCTTAGGAAGCTACAGGAAATAGTGTTAACTCAAAATGAGGAAGTAAACAAAGAAAATGGAAAAATACATAGAACCCAAGATATGAGATTTATCACAAAGAGAAAAACCAAAGAAAATATCTAGAATGATGGTTAAAAGGAAGCCCTTGCACAAAAAATGATTACATTATTTAATGTTGAATATACTAATTATCTTGATTTGAGCATTACATATTGCACACAGTTATAGATATTCAGTAAGGTAATAACCCACAGATATATACAGTCAATTGTGTTTCAAAAAAAGGAAGCCCTCAGCAGCTTACAGCAGATCTAGAAAACAAAAAACCCAAACTAAAATAGGAGGACTGTTTCCAGAGGTCTGAATTTGGAAACCCAAAATTACATGATGTGCTTAACCATACTTCAAGGAGCACTGAAATTATAGCAAAGACTTTAGGGATGGATTATTTTTAAAAAGGTAACAAAAAAGCATAGTAATTATTAATCTCAGAGTTACCAAAGAGTTATATAAGAAATGAACCATTATTATAATATACAGTCCATCTGTGTTGTAGCAGCTTTCTAAGATTAGCAGCAATGATCCCTGTCTCCTGATATTCATACCCTTGTATAATTCCCTCCCCCTAAGTGTGTATTAGATCTAGAAACATTTCTAATGACTGGAATATGGCAAAAATGATGGCATATTACTTCTGGGATCAGGCTACAAAAGATCTCTTCTGTCTTGCTTGCACTCTTTTTCTTTCTGGTTCTTCTTGCTTGCTCCTTCTGATGAAGCAAACTATCATGTTGTGAACTGATGTATGAGGTCTACATGACGAGAAACTGAGGGCACTTCTGGAATGGCCAGCAAGAGGCTGAAGTCTTTAGTCTAACAACCTACAAGGACCTGGACCTGAATACTGCCAAAACCCACATGAGTGGGCCTAGAAGCAGATCCTTCTTTAGTCAGGCCTTGAGATGATCACAGCACTGGCCAACACCTTCATTTGTGGCCTTGTGGAAGACCCCGAGCTACTGGACCCAGCTAAGCCATGCCTAAATTCTTGACTCACAGAAACTATGAGATAAAATTGTTGTTTTAAGCCATTAAGTTTTGATGTAATTTGTTACACAGCAATAGATAACTAATATAAATCTGTAAACAATATACACTTGTAAAAATGCAAACAATGAATAATGATTTAACCGAAAATGGAGAGAACAGCATGCATGTTACTGGATTGGTTTAAGAGGCCAAATACTCTTCTTCCACGGAAGCAAGTTAGAAGAAGTATAAACACGCTGTTTAGCAATATAAATGTAAACATTTGAAGAAACAGCTGTGAGATTTTAACTGGGTATTTTAACTAGGGCAGGAATCATTATTTTATTAGAAAGATT